GGGGGCACGTGCCTCTCCCTCACTTTTCAAGAAACGAAACTAAAAAAAAAAGAAGGAAAAGACCCACGAAATGAATAATAGCATCCCAGAGTTCCCTCCTTCCACTTCTCTCCTCCACGCTACGCTTATGCCAATAGGGAAATGTTTAAGAAAGACTTGAGCGATGCGAGGAGCTTGCGGGGTAGGGAGGGGCGCGGGGAAGATCCGCGCAGGCGGTGCGTGTCCGTCGCCGAGATGGCATCGGCGATGGGCACGGTTCGGGGGCGTCGTGGGGATGCAGGCGCTGTGGTCGCAGGAGGGGATCGTGGGCGATGCGGGGGAGCGACAGTGACATCGGACGCGTACATGATTTGTGGCTCGCGTCAGACGAGAACGATAAATTATTTCCCGTTACTCTCGAATCACCCCTCGTACGTACTCATTATCTTAATTAAGAAGTCGTCCATCAAATAAAAGAGAATCGCCCAGACGTGCAAAAAAAAGAAAGTTTTCCACCCCGACGAATGAAAATTGATGAATTTTCCCCAGGCTTTAGCACGTCGGACGACACGTGGCTCCCCGTGAACGAGAACTACCCGTTCCTGAACGTGGAACTGCAACGGGAAGATCCCGAGTCTCATCTCAACGTCTACAAGATCCTCGTGGCCCTTCGATCGACGAACGCTCATCTCTACGGCGAACTGGACTTCCCTAATGCGGTCAACACTGAAGACATCTTCGTCTTTACCAGGTTGGAAAAGGGGGAATCGCGAAGAAATCACTTTCCTCATTTTTTTTATGGATTCATGTGATTTTAATGGACCGTCGTGATTTTTAAATGGACTTTTGTGATTTTTTTCCATGGACTCTTGATTTTTTTCAGGATGTATCCCGTGGAGGGAGAGGACGCGTACATTATCGTGGTGAATTTCGGCGAGGACCGACAGGTTTTGAATCTGAATTCGATCCAGAACTTGGGCGGATCCGGTGTGGTTCTGGCTAGGAGCGGTCACGAAACCGAACCCGGGACCGAACACGGGTCAGTTTTATTCGGTAAAATAAATTCCCAAATACGATGAGCGAACGTCAGAATGTTTTTTTTTTTCCCGCTGTATTTGACAGATCCACCGTGGACTTCAACGCGGTGCCGATCGGATCCAAAGTCGGCCTGGTCATCTCCTCTCCCTTCCTCGTCGAGACGTGATCCTTCTCGAATGCAAAAATTGAATTTTGAATAAAACGCATATAAATAGAGTCGGTGGAATTCATGACGAAAAAGACATAACCGCAAGCCCGGTCTAATAAACCACGCATCTGTGGAAATAGAGCAAGGTCCTATCCCTGGAATCCCCGACCCGTTA